CCATGATGGAATGTGCTCCCACAAAACTCAGCACTGCCTGAGGGATTTGCTCTTGTAGCCCATCAGCAGAGTGCTGGTGCAGCTCCAGAGGATGGGAGAGACCTGGAGCTCTTAGAGTGGTCCAGAGGCCATGGAAATGCTCCAAGGGCTGGAGCCCTCTGCTCTGGAGACCTCAGAGCCCCTTCCAGGGCCTAAAGGGGCTCCAGGAGAGCTGCAGAGGGACTTGGGACAAGGGATGGAGGGACAGGACACAGGGAATGGCTTCCACTGCCAGAGGGCAGGGATGGATGGGATATTGGGAAGGAATTGTTCCCTGGGAGGGTGGGCAGGCCCTGGCACAGGGTGCCCAGAGAAGCTGTGGCTGCCCCTGGATCCCTGGAAGTGTCCAAGGCCAGGATGGACGGGGCTTGGAGTAGCCTGGGCTGGTGGAAGGGGAGGAGAAGGAGAGATCACTCCCAGCCCCAACCATTCCACAATTCCATGATTCTGCAGCTCTCTGAGGTCCTGTCTTGAGCTCACTATGTCAGTACAAAATCCCTGCTAGGCTTGAGCTCCCCTCCTTTAAATCTTCCTGGGGTTTTATCCCAGGGCTGTGGCAGGATCTCATCCCGGTTCCCCTTGGGCAGTGCTGCAATTCCTGGCCAGCCATGGTGGTGGACAGTCCTCCCATGGTCCAAACTGACTCTTTCCTGCTCCTTTTAGGTGGGAAATTTGCTGAGAAATCCAACCAGTTCTCCGTGATCCCGCTGCAGCGCGCGGGGAACAAGACGGAGATCGCGCACAGCACCCTGTACCTGGCCAGCCCCCTCTCGTCCTACGTCACCGGCACCACCCTGGTCGTGGATGGTGGGAGCTGGCTCACCTCCCCCAACAGCTTCTCTGCCTTGCTGGGTATTGCCTCCTCCTCTGCTAAACTCTAGGTGACTGCATTTCCCACTCGTGGGATTGGAGCAGGGCTCCTCAGGGAAACCCTGCTTTTCCCTGGGGTACAGGGCACAGGTCCTGTGAGGAGCAGCTGAGGGAGCTGGGAAAGGGGCTCAGCCTGGGGAAAAGGAGGCTCAGGGGGCCCTTCTGGCTCTGCACAACTCCCTGACAGGAGGGGACAGCTGGGGAGGTCGGGCTCTGATCCCAGGGAACAGGGACAGGACAAGGGGAAATGGTCTCAAGTGCCAGGAGAGGTTTAGGTTGGATATTAGAGAACATTTCTTTATGGGAGGGTGGTCAGGCACCGGCACAGCTGCCCAAGGTAGTGGTAGATTCACCATCCCTGGTGGGATGAAAGCTCTGTGGATGTGGCACTTGGGGACATGTTTTAGTGGTGGCCTTGGCAGTGCTGGGGGAACAGTTGGATTTGTTGGTCTTGGAGGGCTTTTCCAACTTAAACAATGATTCTTAACCATGACTCTCCTGGGGCATGGCTGCAGTAGCAGTGGGTACAGTGTCCTCATGGACAGTCCTAGGGATCACTTGGGACAAGCAGAACCTGCTTGGATTTTCCCTTTGAGCCTGGCTTGTGACATGGTGTCTTTTGGATGGTCATCCAGACACCTTTGAGATTCCCCCAAAGCAACTTGCTGCCCATTTCCTGTGCCCCAGCAGCAGGATTGAGCACAAAGAATGCCAAGAGCCTCTTCCTTTCATGAATTCCTGCAGCCTGGTGGGGGAAGGGGTCTCCTGCCTTCCTCTCCTCCCTGCCTGTGTCCTCCCTGGCAGCCTCCATGAGCTGGGCAGGCCCCAGCAGGGCTCTGTCCCCACCTCCACCCTCTCTTGCAGATGTCTGGGCTGCAGGAGCAAACCAGCCCCACTGATGGACAGCCTGGGGCTGACAGATGGACACCACGGGGGACATCTCCCAGAGCCAGTTCCAACAGCCACAGCCACTCCTCGGCCACTGGGGGTAGTGGTGGCACTGCCAGTCCCGTGTCTGCCTGGGGGACAGTTCTGGGGGTGCTGGGTGCCACTGCCACCCCCGTCCTGTGCCACTGCTGCCTTCTGAGCTGCTGTGCCTGTGGCTGCAGAGACAGCGTGGAGGGCTGAGATGGTCACTGTCCTTTTGTGGCTCCCTCCAGGCTGCTCTTGTGGCCTTTCCCAAGCCCCAGGCAGTGCCAGCCATGGATACCAATCCTCTTACTCCCCTCTCCCCTGTCTTAGCTTGAGAGCTGCCCAGGACCCCCAGCTCCTTTTTGGGAGGGGGAGCAGCTGTGAGCCTGGGGTCGGGCCCAGTTCTGCCTTGGCAACTCTTGGAGGGGAAACCCTGGCAGGGGGAGGTGGCTGTGTCCCCTAAGGGGTCCTGGGTGGGACAGTGGTCCCGGGATGCAGCTGGGATGAAGCTGGGATGCCCCTCTCCTTGGAGCAGAGGTGGTGTGAGGGCAGATCCCCCAGGGCAGGGTCTCCCAGCAGCACTGCAGGTGTCCAGTGGTCTGTCCACACCCCTCTGTCTGTCACACCAGTGTCACGCTGTCTCCTTCCAGACACTCAAGCTGAGGGTAAGTGAAGGGCTAGAACTGGAATCCAGTGCTTTCCTCCTGCTGGGCTGCAGGAGCCACAGCAGGGCTGCACGGGTGGCTCTGCTGGAGCCAGCCCTGCCCCTGGTGATGGCTCGTGTGCACCCTCCTGCTGCTGCTGCTGGTAGTTTTTAGGCTCACCTTGAATTCCATGAAGCTTGTTCTCCCACTTAATTGTATTTCCTACTTGATTGTAGACTTGCCATGTTTTACTCCTTCCTGCAGGCCACAAATAAAGAACTTGTCCTCTGAGCAGTGATGCCTTTCTCTGCTGCATGAGCACCGGTGCCCTGCCCAGCTGACTGGTCCCAGTGGTCCAAACTGGGCCCTGAGGAAGGGGGGAGAGCCACTGCTCCCACTGCCAGAGCCTTGTGTGGCTCCAGTCCTCGGCTCTGTGGTGCTCCATGCCCACAAGGCTTGGGGACCTGCCAGCTCCTCAGCCCCAGGGGCTCTGGGAAGGTGGTTCCAGCAGCAGAGGTGGTGGGGAGGTGTTGGGGGCTTTGGTGAGGGATTCCACCCTGCAGAGGGATGGGGATGCAGAGCCTGGGCTGGGATCTGGGTGGTGTCCTTTGCCTGGGCTCCTGCCACAGCATTCCTTTTCCTGGATTACAGGATGTTTTCTCCTGGAGAAGGTATTTGTGTGATGTGAGGTGGCCCTTCTGCCCAGCTGCATCTCCGTTCTGGGAGGCTCCATGGATTTCTCTGTTCAGTCATGACCGGGTGACTTGGGCACTGTCAGGGCTGTCCTGGCTCTGTGGCCATCCCAGGAAGAGGGAGCTGAGCTTGGCCTCCAGCACCAGGGGAAGGACAGAGCTTTGGGCTGAGCTTTGGCATGGCCTGGAGCTGTAGGAACCCAACCAGGGCTGCAGAGCTGCCACTCACAGCATCAGGCCAGCACCTCCAGCCCTGCAGGCAACTTGTTCCCCTGCCAGTCCCATCCACACAGGAACCCTGGCTGCTTGAGCTGTTTGGGAACTGGGAATGCCCAGGGGATTTTGCAGGGAATGGTTTGGGCAGGTGTCACCATGTAGCTGTGCTTCCCCCGTGGGACTGACAAAGGAGCCCCCTCCTGCCCTGCTCACCTTTAGGAAGGGCTGTGATGAGGAACAGGATTTGGAGTGGAGGTTTCCATCCTTCCCAGTGCTGGACTGACTGGGCAGGGGAGTCATCCTCTCTGGGAGATGCTGCTGAACTCTGGCTCTCGGGGCTGAGTGTGCTGGGGAACAGAGACCTTACGGCTCAACCAGGCTGACCCTGAGGTGTCACACACCTCCATTGCCCGGGCAGGGCCACTGGGGCCAGGGATGCTCTTGCTCATCAAGTTTGCTGCTAATTATACCCAGGGGCTGTAATTCCACCCGCTGGGCCAGCTAAGGGGTGTGTTAGCGGGGTCATCCCGGTACTCCAGCAGAAGCTGCAGGTGCTCTGAGCCTGCAGGCTGTGAGCCCTAAGCACGGGCATTCATTAACTCCTTGCCGTGGTCCCAGGGCTGTCCCTGTGCTCAGCTTGTCCCTGGAGCAGCTCAGGGATCCCGGTACACAGCACTGTCCCACTGGGGCTGGGGGTCCTGGAGCACAGCTCATGTACCCAGAGGGATTTGAGTGTCCCAGTGCACAGTTCATACCCAAAGGGATTCGGGGTCCCGGAGCACGGTTCGGGTTTGGGGTCCCGGAGCACGGTTCGGGTTTCCGGAGCACGGTTCGGGTTTGGGGTCCCGGAGCACGGTTCGGGTTTGGGGTCCCGGAGCACGGTTTGG